GTATTGAATTTTTTGTTAAATGTAAATACAGTGGACCTTCAGTTAACGATATTAATCCATTCCAGAGAACTTGTCCTTAACTGATTTTATCGTTATCCGATTTAATTTGCCCTATAAAAAATGGAAATTCAATTAATCCGTTCCTGCTGTCAGGAGGCATGACAGAATAGTACTTCAATATGATGCTATTATCAACTCTACAGCTTATTTATCTATCACAATTCATCTAATATGACATAATAAACGATATTAATAACATAAACATGATATATACTCTATAATGAATAAAGTATGTGAGGAGTAATTGGTGGAAGTGTTGTTGGGTTTATAAGGGCCACTGAGAGAAGCCATACATGGTGGAGGTGGAGGCACCAGCAGAACCCACCACCACTATTCACACTGAAACATTGTATGTGATTTATAAATGAGAAATATTTACATTTTAATTTATAAATAAGTTTATTCAGGCATACACAAATACTGTAGTTACATACATATTGGTTTGGAAATAGGGTAGTTGATGAGTGGAACAGTCTACCTAGTTGGGTTATTGAGGCTAGGACTTTGGGTAGTTTCAGATTTAGGTTGGATAAGTACACGAGTGGGAGGGGTTGGATTTGAGTAGGACTTGCATATCAGAGCTTATTTCTTGGGTAGCATTGAAAATTGGGTTGGGCAAATGTTTTGTTAGTGAGATGAATTGTAAAAGACCTGCCTAGTATGGGCCAACAGGCCTGCTGCAGTGTTCCTGCTTTCTTATGTTCTTACGTTAATTAGTTAGCTTGATGGAGGAGATGCTGGCAGAGGTTTGGGGTGGTGGAAGATAGCAGCAGGGTGGCGTATGTTCAGCGACCTTTACACATCTAACAACATGGGGAGTTTCTTTCGTGTTGTTTTTCTATCGCTTGCTCACTTTGCTGCACTGTTAATTCTACACTTTATCGCTGGCTGGCACTATAGTCTTTATCGATACCTGCTGCTTTAGTATCGTACATATCGTAGAATCACTGCAGAAGGCACATTCTCCCGTCTCTCTTCCTCCTCCACTCTGGTACTTGGCTACGAGTTTTTTCTTTAATTTTATTGTCTCTTTCCTTCATTATCACAGGGCTGGCATTAGAAACTTTCTTTGGGCCCATGGTGGCTTAGTAGTTACAAGCACTAAAAACAATGGAATAATAGAAAGTGTATCGCATGTATTTGTGGAATTGTCCTCGCTGGCTTGTAAATAATGACACATTGGCTGTACATGGGCTCAGGCTGTGCGGGCACATTCGGGACGAATGTCCTTAACCGAGTTTTTCATCGTTATCTGAACCAATATTTTGACGCAAAAACGCATCGGTATCCGATTTTATCGCTGTCCGATAGCATTATTAACTCAGGGTCCACTGTACAGTATAAGTTTGTGTAGTTAGGTGAATATACAGTTTTATTTACTTTGGCACTTCACATTTGCTGCTGATGTACAAGTTACTTGAGGCTAGTATAGAGAAATATTCTTAATTCGTGGCTCTGGCTTGCAAGTTAATTACAAATTGTACTTCAGTGGTATATCCTGCAAAACTTCAGTCACTTTTCAACTTAAATTTTATTAGAGATCCATTTTGTAGCACACCTTCTTTTAATTTAAGAGTTTTGCATTTGCAAATAGTTCATGCAGGTTATTCATTTGGCAAGTTACATAATTCTATATTTTTTTTTTTTTTTTTTTTTTAACACTGGCTGTCTAACACTGAGGTAGGGTGACCTGAAAGAAAAAACATTCACCATCATTCATTCGAAGGGGCTTGGATGCCCCTTCCAACTGCAAATATCCCCACCCCTTCGGAGTGCGGTCACTATTTCCCTACCTCCAAAACTAGTCTGGCAAACTGGTTTCACTAGATCGCTTCAAGTGTTTCCTTGCTCTCACTCCCACAGTTCGTCAAGTCTTAAAATCCACTTGCCCTCACTTATTCATATCTAACATGCTCACACATGCCTACTGGATGTCTAAGCCTCTTGCACACAAAATTACCTTTACCCACTCCCTCCAACCTTTTCTTGGGTGACCCCTACCCTACCTTCTCTCTTATAGATTTATACACCCTCAAAGTCATCAGATTTTGCTCCATCCTCTAAATAACCAAACTCCCTCACAAACCACTCTTGTATTCTCGCCCACCATAAATGCTAATATCAGTGTGTGCAGTCTCGAAAAAAAACAGGCAGATGCTGGAATGCTGCTGTACACTAACTGCCCCCTTCAAGGCAGGCAAAATTGCTGACTGGGAGAGTGTACAGAGAACTTTCATGAAGCACATAAGTATGATAAGGAACCCAAATTACTGGGAACTGTTGAAGTCCCTTGATTTGTATTTCCTGGAATGCAGGGGAGAGAGAGAGAGATGATAATATACACTTGGAAAATCTTAAGGGATTAGTATCAAACTTGCACACGAAAATCACTCCCTATGAAAGCAAAAGATTCGGCAGGAGATGCAACATTCCCGCAATGAAAAGCAAGGTGCCACGAGTACACAGAGACAACACAATAAGTGTCTGGGGCCCAAGAATATTCAACTGCCTCCCAACATACATAGAGGATTACCAAGAGACCCCTAGCCATCTTCAAGAAGGCACTGGACAGGCCCCTAAAGTTGGTACCTGACCAGCTAGGCTGTGGTTCGTACGTCAGTTTGCGTGTGGCCAGCAGTAAAAGCCTGGTTGATCAGATCCTGATCCACCACGAAGCCTGGTCTCAGACCAGGCCGCGGGGGCGTTGTTTTGTATTACGTTTGTTACAAGCTATCCAAAAATATTGATTCTCTACATCCCATTGTACTTGGTATGCAGTATTGGTTGTCTGATTTCTAGCAAGCCGACACAGATACCACATGGAAAGATGTCTGGCACCTCTTCAAGAACTTTGTTAGCATCATTTCACCATATAATCTGTCCTATCTGTCAGGTTTTTTTTTTTTTTATAACCAACTGTTGCCCTAAATTTAATTATACACCTTCACTAATACTGAACTGTTTGACCCATGAAAGTTTAGCACTTTTTGTCGAATACACTGAGAGAAGTGCAGTTATTTAAATGAGTTCGTTTTATTTTCCAGGTAGCCAGTGTCAAATGCCAACAAGTCTTTATTCCCATCTTTTTTTCCAGATATGCGTCGTGATGTTCAAGAAATCTTCCGCAACACTCCTCACGAGAAGCAAGTCATGATGTTCAGCGCCACATTGAGCAAGGATATTCGTCCAGTTTGCAAGAAATTTATGCAGGATGTAATTACTGAAGTTTTTCTCTTGTTTCTACTACGGTATATCTCCACAACCATCTTAGTGTCGTACCTCGGTGTCGGCAACTTTACATGGGTGGGAAGTACGTTCTGTTGGGCGTACCACTCCACCTCTGAGCCCCATCCAGTACCCTGAAGAATGAAGATCTCTGTCCTGGCCAAGTCTCTTTTATATCATATTCATCTATCATCCACAACGAACAACATCGGATTCATTGCCATTCTCCCCCCAATCATCCACTGCCCCCAGTTTTGAGAAAATATCATCTATACAGATCAAAAGCAATAATTCACTCTCATTGATACCAGTTTCCTATACATTATCCTGTAACCCTGACAGTACCCAGTCAGGGGCACATCCTGGATCCTGCCTCTGGCACTCCTTACCTGTATCCTTGTTATTCATCCATGTGATGTAAATCTCAAGTGCCTCACTGCCTTCCACTGGTCACAGCCTTTCATGTTCATGCAGTCTCTATCTATGCATTTGCTCACCCAAAACGACGCTGTTCGGGAAGACAATAGATTTATAACACGCCTCTTCGCACCGTGGCAAGTGGTGCAAGTACAAATGCAAATCATTCCTGCCATCCTTACCTAACCTAATCCATATAGTCCATAAATTACCTTATCCTTTCCCAATCCTATGTCAATCTACTCGCATCACATCACGACTGCAAGAGTAGAAGCTGGCCTTCAAGACATGCAAGCAAGAATATGGAAGTGGGAATAAGGGTGGAGGATGAAGAAGCACAGGATACTTTGTTGGTGCTGCTGCTGTGTTGACACCTGGTCGTTGGTGATAGTGGTGATCTCCAGCTCGCACGCCTGGGCCTTCATAATCATTCCTCAGAGCAGGCAACCAAGGTTTGGGGAATTGTGGGAGGGGGAAAAAAGGGAGCAGTTTAGAAAGTTTTTTTTTATTTTTATTTTTTTTGTCAATTAGGGTTAATCATTTGGATGAAAAAAAAAAAACTAAGCATACCTTTCTTTGACATTTCAAGTAAACATTGACACCTTATAGATTTGCTAAGGACAAGTAAATTTTTTTTTTCTCAAGTATTCAAACATTGACTACCGACATATTAATGTACCATGTACTGCACAGACAAGGTATAAGAGTAAGGTTTGTCTGCATAATTTTTAAGGTTTATATAATTTGACAATCTTTAAATTGTTCAGCTAGCTCTTAACAAAACTAAGTTTTCTGTCTGGGCAGGGATGGTTATTAAGAAATAAGTCAAATTTTTGTTTTGGGGAATGGTAGCCCTGCTTGTGTAGCTCTTCCTTTCCAGTATACGACCAGCTCATTTAACTTAGGTGCAAAATCCCCTTTTACTTGTAAGTTTTTTAACCTGGTGTTGTTAAAAGATAATTAAATATAAATGCTTCTCAGGCATGTGAAAACTTTAAAAGGCTAAGAGTAAATGATCTCATTGGCAAATATTTTCATGTACTGAACAGTTAAATTGTTTTAGAATAATCCTCCCTTGCACAGTCAGCTGTGGCATGCAGCTAACTTGTGCATGGTCTTAAGAAGCTTGTAGCAATGTATGCAACACTGCTAACTTGTCTTTACAGCCTATGGAGGTTTATGTTGATGATGAAGCAAAGTTAACTCTAAATGGTCTGCAGCAGCATTATGTCAAGATTAAGGAGAATGAAAAGAACAGGAAACTGTTTGAATTGCTTGATGCTTTAGAATTTAACCAGGTATGTGTAATCCTTTACATCAGTCTTTGTATTAGATTAAATACTCTTAAAATATACATTTTATTAACCCTTAAACTGTCCAAACGTAGATCTACGTTTGTGTGTGTAGCGCTCCGACCTTTTCTCTATAAGAAACAATGTAAAAAAAAAAACAGATCTATGTTCGGAGCGCTACGCGTGCAAATGTAGATCTACGTTTGGACAGTTGAAGGGTTAAAATAGGCAATTATTATTGAGTGATACTAAACTGCAAATATTGAAGAAAATATCGAATTTCAAGTAGTATTGAAATAATAAATGCGAGTAATATGTGTAATTGCATATTTGAGATTAGTGTGAGGGAGCTTTAACTCCTGGGCCTGCCTCTTAACAGAGACCCACTGACATGAAATAGTCTTGTCATTATTTTTTAATTCCTATATTGAGTATGCTTCAATTTTTGTATTCTGTTTACTACATTTCCTGACCACTCGAAGTGGTTTTTTATATCCTTTGGCTTGTGTATAATATACAGTCAGGCTATCTTTTGTTGCATTGCTAGTAAAATTTGTTTACCTTACATGTGATCATTTCCTTTACTGTTCGTTCTTAGTTACATGAATAATGATAGGCATAGCCTTGATAAGTTCTAGTGGCTCAAGTTGTTTTTCCCTTCATTACCTGAAGACTGGTATTTTTGCTGTTAAGACTGCTCTTTCCTTTGAATTCTTCCATTATTCACTTATGGTTCCAAATCCCCAGATGGAGTGGAATACACTGCACTCGACCCCTCCTCCCTCCCCAGAATGAATGTTTACTCGAGACAGCCACTGTTTTCGCAATGGCTGTATACACTTCTCGTCACTCATGTGCATTTCAACCATCTCTGCCTCCTCGTTTCTTTCAGATTCCTTTAGTGTTTCAAGAGATCTAGTACTTCGATTCTACACATTGCAACTTATGCACGAAAGGTATAAAATGCCGACAAGATGACAGTTAAGACATATGCAACATCTGGTAATCCTTATTGTACATGTTTCGCCATCCAGTGGCTTTATCAATACAGATTGTCCAAGAATCTGTGTTGATAAAGCCACTGGATGGCGAAACGTCTACAATAAAGATTACCAGATGTTGCACACGTCTTAACTTTCAACGTATTATGCAATTAACAACAGTGGTGTCGAGGTTATCTGTTGGGTTTTTGGGCAGTGAATTAACTTCAGTAATTGAATTGTGAAGTAAGCAGTTAAAGGCCTACCAGTCTCTTAAGGGTTTCCTATTTTATAAACTTCAGTAGTCTCTGTATCTCGAGACCAGTTGTGATCGTGTCGGATTGAATCGATGACCATGAAAGTGCTTTCCATCAAACAGCATTTGTTCATAGTTTGTTTCTAGCCATTTTCCTTCCATTGCTGTCTAGTATGGGAAATTACATGGATGATTATGTATTGACACAAGAATTACATGGACACCTAATGGAGACCTGCCAGACACCTACAAGAATTGTCGGGTTATTCCAACAGTATTACTACCATTAATCATTTGTCCTATATATCAGTGAGTGCACACACTTCATTTATGATAAATTAACCTTGACATGCTTTCACTAGCTATCCTCTCAGAAAGTCCTTCCTTTAAAATACAAACTTTAATTGAAACTGACCTTTTGCAACAGTGACAACACCCATTTTGAACTGCTTCTCCCCCCCCCCTTCCTCTTCCAAATCCCTTCCTAAATGCATGTCCTTTCCACTACAGCTCTGACTCCACCCTTTTTTTTTTTTTTTAAGTAATTTGCTATATTTGGGTTTTTGATCTGGAGGGTTAGTAAGATGATAACTCTGTCATTAGGGGCTGTCATATTGATTTCCATTGGGATGCCTTAATCTTTATCAGGATGTGACCTGCAAGTTTACTAACACCCAGGTACCTACTTACTGCTAGGTGAACAGGGGCATCAGGTGTAAGGAAACGTACCTTAATGTGTCATCCATGCTGGGGAGAGATCCTCTGTCCCTCAGTGAGAGCTGAGAACATTGTCAACTGAACCATGAGCACCCTTCATCCCTTGTTACCCTTAAATCTAGCACCAAGTCTTAGTGCATTCATTTATACTTTGAACCTTCTAGTATTTTTCTAGTCAAGAACTCCAAACCAGTTTTATATACTGTGTTCAAGAATGGTTTACACATGTATTGTTTCTAACACATTAGTACATTCCTAAATGTCCTGCTTGTGTTTTGCGAGCTTCTGTAGTGCTTAGTTTCTGCTCTTATGGAGATGGGTTTGGGGGCAATGATTATTCAAGTCTTTTCCTTTAAAGGTTTCTGGGTGTTTTCCCACTGATAGTACTATCTTCACTCTTTCTCCAGCTCTGCTTGATAACTACTTTTGCAGGAGTTAAACTCGAGTAATCATTTATTTGACAATTTCAGTGGTTCGTTTATTCATGCAGCCTTTGTATTCCTCGTTAATGTGCCATTATCAGTTTAATATTCACTAGGCAAAATATGGGACCCAACACTGATTTCTGTACGACTTTGATAGTTTCCCATCTTGATTCTCAAAGTAATTTGGGTGTCTAATATCCATGCTCATACCATTACTGCTCTTTGGGAAGGGAGGAAGAGTGGCATTTAAAAGGAAATTATAAAAATTCTTGCTATTTAACCCTTTCAGGGTCCTATCCTTAGATATACGGCTTTGAAGCCAGGGTCCAAGCCGTAGATCTACGCCATGAGCTCGGGTCACTCACATAAACCATGAGTGGTAAATCTGGGCCTAGATATGAGAGAATACACCTGTGATAAGTGTACACCACATAAGACAAATCCTGCAGCACGCAGTGCATAATGAGAGGATAAAACTGACTAATTTTGGATTAAAACAGCAACTTTGCTGTTTTTTTTTTTTTTTTTTTTTTTTATGTATATAGTTGTATTCACGATTTCTTGGTCTCGTTTGATAGAATGGAAGATATCGTACAGAGATTATTCTGATTGGTTTTAGTACTGAAAATGGCTTGAAAAAGAACTCAAATTAGCAGAAATGTTCAATTTTTGCCAATGTTCAAGAGTAAACAAATGTCAAGCATCTAATGTGTGTCAGTTGGTGGGTCTGATGTGTGTTCACGAATTGGTGATTTTTAACCCGTAAACGGTCCAAACGTATATATACATTTTTACCACTAGTGCCCCAAACGTACATATACGTTTTGTGTGTCCTACATTTAACATTGCCACGATAAGCCTGAGTCGCCTAGACATGTGAGAATGGGTGTGAGCACTCACTATGCACCATATTAAAATAATTGGGGATGCCTGGGTACCCTATGCTCTTTTTTCCTATTAAACAATTTTTTTTCTCAAAAAAGTTGAGGCAGTACAGTAGTGAACGTATATATACGTTTGGACCATTTACGGGTTAACAAGTCGGCCGTCTCCCACCGAGGCAGGGTGACCCAAAAAGAAAGAAAAAATCCCCAAAAAGAAAATACTTTCATCATCGTTCAAAACTTTCACCTCGCTCACATAATCACTGTTTTTGCAGAGGTGCTCAGAATACAGCAGTTTAGAAGTACAGTGGAACCCCGGTATACGATATTAATCCGTTCCTGAGAGCTCATCGTATGCCAAAATTATTGGGAGGCGAATTAGTTTTCCCCATAAGAAATAATGGAAATGAAATTAATCCGTGCAAGACACCCAAAAGTATGGAAAAAAAAAATTTACCACATGAAATATTAAGTTTAATGCACACAAACTGAAGAAGACATGCACAGTTTGTAGTACTCTACTAACAATAGAATACATGACACTTACCTTTAATGAAGATCTGGTGATGATTGATGGGATGGGAAGAGGGGAGAGTGTTGAAGTTAATGTTTAGAAGGGGAATCCTCTTCCATTAGGACTTAAGGTAGCAAGTCCTTTTCCGGGGTTACTTCCCTTCTTTTAATGCCACTAGGACCAGCTTGAGAGTCGCTGGACGTCTGTCGCCGTTCCTTTAAGGTTGGAGGTCAAAATTTCGGCCAACTTTTTTATTTTCGGTGTACGTTTAGAGGTTCATGTGTAGAAGAATGTGACAAAGTTTCAGTATGATTGGCCAACAAACAACAGAAAAAAATATTCAATGACTTTTCATATATGGCAGCAAGAATGACAAAATGGCACTACGAGTGGCACTTCCGACAATCCCAACCGTTAGAATACGTCTGACGAATTTTGGATGCACATGTTTCATCTAGTATATCTTATGAAAAAAAAAATACATTTGATAGACTTTTTGGCATTCACCAAAATATCTGCCTTTTACCTCCCACAAAATAAAAAATATTTGATATATTCCAAAAAAAGAAGCACCAAATAGTCAAACACACTTTGTTTTATATTGTCTGTGAAAATCATTTCAATACAATCATTAATAATGGTGTAGGTCAGCGAAATAAGTGAAAAAGTTACTTCCGAGATATAGGCCTGGAACGCCGGCCGGCCTGCAGTCTCCAAAAAAATTTTTTTTACGAAAATCACGTTTGTTTCAGTGGTTTTCTAAGTAAACTGATATTCTAGTGCAGTTATCCTCTTCAAAATACCATTTTCTATCACTCACAGACCAAACAATACAACAAGGAGACGGGGAGTAACTCATTTATATCGAAATATTGCTGGTGGACTCTCGCCATATTATGGCCTATTTTATTCAGTCTAGAGTATATAACAAGTTTGTTTGTTACTTATAGTGTTTATTATATCATATTAGATCAATTCTGATAGATAAATAAGCCGTATAGTTGATATATAAGCTGATACAAGCATAATAATGAAGTAATTTCACCTGGCACCATCTGGAGGGGAGTACTGCCGAGTGCTCTCAGATAGCTCCCGATTGGCTGGTACTCTACTGATAAGCCCCACCTACTCTTATATGATGCCAAATAATCAATTATTGTATTAGAAAGAATAATGCAAAGAAAAAGCGATAAAAAACAAGGAAAAAAATAAAAAAAATACATGGGTTGA